GCAATCAGTGCAAAGGATTGTCCTCTCCAGAGGTTTATTCTTCTTGAATGTAAAGTAGAATAAATTTCTTATTAATGGTAAACTTTAGAACTACTTGTTTTAAATAGCTGAATCTATGTTAGGTGAGCAGTGCTTCTTACTTTATTAGAATTATTTATCTGGTTTAAAGCAACAGAGGGCCAACCAATTAATTGAAGTGATAAGTACTAAGAAGTCAAGTGAAAACAATGTACTTTAGTTTGTCCCAGGATGAACTGAGTACTGGTAGGGTGAAACAATTTTTGATTTCCAGATTTAGGCTGTTGAGCTCAGAATGCATCCCCTGACTGTTTTGCCTCCCAGGCTTGAGCAGAATCTTCAGAAGACTTACTGTGGGGCTGAAGTTGCTGTGTGATCATTATCCATCTGTATTCCATGCAATTATTATTTATGTTATTGAATTCCCTGGAGGTAAAATTAAGCTAGAGTTTTTATTTATTTATTTATTTTCATTTTGAGCTCCTGTTTTTGTTTCTCCCGTTCCCTTTAACAACCCTGTTTCCCAGGAGAACACTTGATACATCCTTATGTTTCCAGGAGAGTGCAGTTCAATAGGTTGAGAGTTAATTGCCAGCTGGGAGTTTCCAGATGTTTATATACTTGCCCAAAAAGCTGTCCACTGCTAGCAAATGAACAGCTGGAAAGACACAATACAAACAAAAAATCTTTCAGCTGATTGACATATGTCTGGATAATTTGGTATGTTTGAGAGAAATAGAATTAAAATTAGAAAAACCTAGGAGCAAGTCCATCATTATTGATAACTCGTCAATTGGACTTTTTGCTCAAATTGAGATATATAATTCTAAAACACTACACTTGCTCAGTTATTATCATCCATACAAGTAGGTGACTGGAATAACACATAACCTTCACCCTATTTTCCCTTAAGAGGTGTATTCTTAAATGTTCACAATACCAAGCAGTTTCACAGGGCTGGATGGTGCAAAGATTTGAAATGGAACGCAAAGTCTTTCATTGAGAAATCAGATTCACAACCAGCCCAGATAGCTGATGGCAAATGAGCTGCTAAATGCAGTTAGTTAAGAGTTCTTTTTTTTCTTTGTGTGTGTGTGTGTGTGTGTGAAATAAGTGTTTCTGTACACAATCAAAATTGCTCTGATGATTTTTTTTTTTTTCCCTATATGGAAATAAACATGAAAAAACAACTTCAACAATTTGACTTTCACTGTGAAACCCTATATGTACGTGCATTGAAAGGACTAGCCTAGGAAAAACAGCATGTAAAAGATGTGCTACAATCTGATGTGCATTAAGGATAGCAATATCAGGGATAGATCAAGTATTTTGATGTTTAGACAGTGAGAGTGGCAAGAAATCTTCTTGTCTTCCTAAAATATGAAACATGAAAATTCTTGCAGCATTGCATTGAAAATTATCTAACATGAATTGGCCTTCTTAAGTTCACTTTTGAGGTCTGTTGTAAAGATTAACCTGTACTTCACTCCAACTCACGATTTCTAGGATGACACTTCTCACTATTACTAAGCAATTAGGATTTACTTTGGGTAAGTCCTAAATAAAAGGACTTTTTAACCAGCAAGAATGTTATAGTGTGTAGTAAATGTGCATAATATGTTTGTAAGGGGCAAGGTAAAGATAGCTTCAGAAACTGTTTACTCCAGAAGATAGGTATGTTGTTTTTTCTTTTCTTTTCTTTTCTTTTCTTTTCTTTTCTTTTCTTTTCTTTTCTTTTCTTTTCTTTTCTT